AATCATGTATTGATTAAAAAATATTTCTTGGGACTGAGGTTGTGGCTCAGTGGCAGAGCACTTGCCTAGCAGTGTGAGGCACCAGGTTTAATCCTCAGCATCACATATAAATAAATAAAAAATAAAGGTACATCAACAACTAAAAAGTGTTTAAAAAATATTTCTTACATGCATATTAGTCATTTTATGAGCTATAAAGATAAATTAAACCCATCTCCTATTTATTAAAAATCAATAACTGAAATAGGAAAATTATCATATATATAAAAGTACAATATATATAAAAAGTTAAAACACTTTATTTTCACTTTACACATAAGGAATTAGGTTCAGAGAGTTAAATAAACTTGCCCAGAGTCACAAAGTTGGTACCACTGGTTTGAATCTAGGCCCAAAAAGATAACACAACAGAGACACAGATAGTCATACGCAAATTCAGATGAGAGGAAAATTATGACCAGCTATGGGCACGGATGGGGAACAGCTAAGGAAGAGATACTTTGAGGAAACATTGAAGGATGGATAATTTTGTGCTTTTACAAAAAGTAAATGGAACATGGGAAGGGGCATTTACACAGTTTTGGCAGGACTGAAGGAAAGGAATGAGAAATAGATAGAAACTTGGACTGTGGCCAGATTATGGCCACCCTTTCCATAGAATGTTTTGTATAGACTTTAAGCTGCTGTACTTGGAAACCAGTGAAGATTTTCAGTTAAGTGAGAAAGCAACTACATGCCTCAGCAAACTTAACCTGGCAGTGCACACTGTGGAGGTCAATGCCCTGGTGCAGGTAAAGAGGCAATATGGTCTGACAGGGAGGCATGGAGAGTGGGAAGAGCCAAGGGGACAAGGGAGAGAGAGGAGTGAAACACAAAAAGAGGGTTTCAAAATATGAAACATAAAACAATTTTCTAAGATAATACTTTTAAAAGTGGTGTGTAGCAGCACTACAGAACAAATCATATAATAATTTGTGAATGATATACCTTCTAGTTCAAGTAGTTAGAAAGGTTAGATATAGTAGCATATACAGAAATTATATTTTAAAACAGGACACATACCTCCTGTATATYCTACAATTCCTACCCAGGGTACCAAGCCTCTTTTCTGTATTCATGYCCACCCATGGTAGCACTCTTCCTTCCCTAAGCCATCTTCCTTCCCTTTAATGCATTTCAATATACCTAGTGTATTTCTGATTCTATTCCCCAAAATTAATTCTTCGGACACTCTGGCTTTGCTAATATAACCTTTTCATGGAAATCTTATTTTTCTCTGTTATTGATCCAATCTCTACCCACTCAAGTGGAGAGAGCCTTATCTYCCATGTTCCCTGCTAAGAATTGGGTTAGCAGTTACCTGCTTTCTTAGAACAGCAGATATAGACCACTAGAACACCCTACCTCATGGCYTTTTCATTTTCCTTAGGAGCTTTATATCTGACTATCCCAGCTCTCCAACTGATGGGTAAAACCTATCTTCTCAAAATGTCTTTCTGACCTTAAATTTCTATCCTCTATATACATCTTATTTTTCCTCATTCCACTTAAACTAGGGTTTTCATTTTATTGATATGTCAAGTCCTTTTGACCCATTTTCTTATCTTATAAAATTAATTGTTGTCCTTCTACTATTTCTTGCCTGGTAATCTGAGTCAAAGACATCAACTATATAATCTATAAGTTCAATAAATTCCTATGACCTTCCTGAACAACAAGAACTCAATCATCCATTTGATCCAGTCCTAYAGTTTGGACATTTAACTGTTAGAGAAAAGTTGCGCTGGGAATGATTATATTCAGATTACATTCTGGTTTCTGTAGTATGGCGGTTATCACTTTTGCCTCATAGATATTATATGCTTTGACCCAGATTTTAAATGTGAAAATTTCCATGCAGAAATAGATGAAATACAAAGGAAGCCTGGAGCTTGTGAAAATGCAGAATACCCTCACTTATTGGGATACTAAGATATCAGCTATGGCCCCCTTCTTCCTCCTGGGAGAAGTCTATATTACGCCTTTTTAAATAAACCCTGCTTTATATKCGAAAGAAAGAAATAGAGAAAATAGGGTTTATTTATTTATTTATTTTGCAGGACTGAGGGTTGAAACCAGCCTCAACCACTCTAGGCAAGTGCTCTACCACTGATCAATATCCTCAGACCTTTATTTATTTTATTTTGAGGCAGGGTCTCACTAAGTTTTCAGGTAGGCCTTGAACTTGGGATCTGCTTGCCCTGAGATTCCACAGTTRCTGGGTTTACAGAAATGTATCATGACACCTGGCTGAAAATAGTATTTTAAAAAATATACTATTTATTTTTTTAGTTGTAGTTGGATACAATATCTGTATTTTACTTACTTATTTTATACCTTTATTTCATTTATTTATTTTTATGTGGTGCTGAGGATCAAATCCAGGGTCTTGCACGTGCGAGGCCAGCGCTCTACTGCTGAGCCACAATCCCAGYSCTAAAAATAGTATTTTTAATTGATAAAGATATACCAAAGTAGGACAAAAAAAGTTTAAAATTATGGTAGAACACCCAATATTATGCAAAACAGAAGATCAACAAATATAAACTGTGGGCCCTACCTTTTCCTGTTTAACTGAAGTCAAAAAGTTAGTTCTGTGCCACAGAAAAATTTACAAATCTGCTATAATTTCTTTAGAAAAATAGCAACATATAACTCTCCAACTGTGTAATAATGGCTCTTGTCCTATTGCAGTGCTGGCAGGTATTCTCTCAGACTGCAGGTTCCAGTTTTAAAACCCTACCTTAAGGGAGTTAAAAGCAGCTCATTTTTTCATAATCTTCTCCATCTCAGCTTTCAAAGAYAATGAACACTGGCTTTGTCCTATCTTTCTACGTTTTCTGTTAAAAAGTAAAAACTATAAGTGACTCTCCAAAGWTAGTAATTACAAATCTTTGTTTCTCTGCTACATTTGTAGCTATAAACATCCTTCATGCTGCATGTCTCAATTTTGTTTCTTCTTTTTAACTAGGACACAAGCCAACAACTACAATGGCACAAGAATGAAGCTTGCTAATCACAGGGACATTTCCTTAAATGGCCTCTAAACTTACTCATTCAGTAATGCTTTCAGATGGAGCTGCAAGCTGCGCACTGCTGTGTGAACATTATTTAGTTCTTTTGACTTCTGCTGAGTTTTACGYTGGGGTACTGACTGGTGCTGGGTTTCAAAGTACCGGTAGAACTCATAGCTGCGTTTAAGCTCTTCTAAACAGGCAGAATGAGCATGAGGTAGACCTTGAATCACATCAGACAGAATACGATGAGGCAAGAGTGCTGGAGAAAGTAAGGGCCCTGGAGGTGAATTGGCTGAAGAAAGCAACAGGGCTAACCGTCTGAAGAACTCTGAACTCTGTGCCACCCAGAGTTGAAACAACACCTAAAGGAAAAAAAAAAAAAAAAAAAAAGAACTGACCAATAAAAAACACTGGTAAACATTTAAAACAAACTACAAATCTTCTTATCTGCTTATCTTAACTTTTGGTTTAAAATTTTTACTTTATCCAAAATAATGAATATAGTAAGTTGAAACCAATTCTTTTTTTCTTTATGTGCAGTTATCTTTATTTCAATTCCTAAGTATATTAGTTTGACCTTAGACATATGTTAGGCATGTCACAAACARTAGATAACTGAAACCAACATGAAGTTTGCTCAAGACATCTAGTTATGTTCTTCTGCAATCCACTTGTTAAATAAAAAACATGACTGGTTTTGTTTGGAACTTGGAAAAAGCCAAGTAATATTTTACGATCATTATGACAAACTTTAACTTCACAGGCCCTGTAAAAAGATTTTCTTTTTGGGAGCTGGAGATTGAATCCAGGGCCTTAAAGCCCTTATTTTCTCATATCTTCCCATATCCGTAACTTTCCTGAATTCTTTAATATCCACATRTACCTGATGAACTGGGTAGCCYGTTACATCAGCAGTCAATGTTTAATATGGGGTGACAGAAAAACTTGTATTCCTAATCAATTCATAGATAATTTTCAAACTCTTAATATTGGAAAAGCACAATTTTCTATTTGAATGACTATTATAAAAAGGAGACAAACGAGCCAATTCATGCAATGATATTCAGACCCTGTTCTAAAAAATAAATCATATAACCAATTCTTACTGCTGAGTAAAGAAACTGAGTATCAGGTCATCAGCTAAAGYTGAATGTTACTCCTCTTCTCCAAGCAAGAGGTATTTAGAATCATGAATGAATTCAAAGCCAACAAGCATAGAGTGAAAGCTTTACTCTGAAAGCTGAACTAACTCTTAAAATTAGCCAAGAATATTATATATTATTATATATATACCAAATTATGTAGTCATCACACATGGTAACTTATGATCTCAGTATAGTAAGTAACACATATGTGATTTAGTACAGTTCCACCATAGATGAGAGGTGCTGATGAGACACAATATATTTATTAAAAGCGAGTCTTTCTTCATGAATTATTTAACAATTTTTTACACAGAGAAAATACTAGAACTATTACATGTCTTCTTATTTAACTATTAAAACTATTTGTAGCTTGGYGCAGTGGTGCACACCTGWAATCCCAGCAGCTCSGGAGGCTGAGACAGGAGGATTGCGAGTTCAAAGCCAGCCTCAGCAATGGTGAGGTGCTAAGCAACTCAGTGAGACCCTGACTCTAAATAAAAGTACAAAATAGGGCTGGGGATGTGGTTCAGTGGTTGAGTGCCCCTGAATTCAATCCCTGGTACCAAACAAAAAATAAAAAACAAACTGCATTTGTTCATTCAGAAAATACTTATTGAGCACTACAGTRGGTAAGGCAATGTTTGGGGTACTGACAATACAGCTTCATATGAACAAAAATGAAAAAGAAAATCCCCACCTTGATGAAACTTCATTCAAGTATGGGGTGGAAACAGATAATAATCAACAAGTAAAATACWGTATTTCTTGGTTAATGGAGATATGGAGTAAAATACTGTAGAGAAGGGGAATAGCCAGTGTGTACATGTGTATACATAGATGAGAGAGGAAAGGAAAGGGAAGAAAAGAGAGGAAGGGAGTTGGCCAGGAAGGTATCTATTAGCATCACTTGAAAGAACCAATACATGACACCATCAAGAGGGAAGAGAATTCTAGGGAGCAGGAGGTTCAAGTGCAAATCAGGATGCTCCCTTGGCAGGAGCATCTAAAAGAATAAAGTTGACACAGCAAACTGCTGCTTTTAAAAAAGACTAATTTTTACCCAATTACTGTCATATTATATATTTAATCCAAAAACTCAGAAGCATGTATGTTTTTATCTGTTTAYTCTTTGGATAAGGAAGGTGTTCTGAGTAAGAGAATACCCATAATTTATGGGCAACAAGAAAACTTTGATTTAAATCATTTCACAATATGTAGATTCATTTTTAAAATCAGAAAACATAGTACTTTATAGTTTAAAAAACTAGTTAAGGGCTGTGGTTGTGGCTCAGTGGTAGAGTGCTTGCCTGGCATGTATAAGGCAATGGATTTGATCCCCAGCATCATATAAAAATAAACAAAAGTAAAACAAAACTATTGTGTACATCTACAACTAATTTTTTTTTTTAATTTAAAAAATCAAGGGGCTGGGGATGGGGCTCAAGTGGTAGCGCACTTGCCTAGCATGTGTGAGGCACTGGGTTCAATTCTCAGCACCACATAAAAAATAAAATAAAGAAATTATGTCCACCTAAAACTAAAAAAATAAATTAAAAAAATATAAAAAATAAAACAACAGCAAAAAAACTAGTTAAAAAGTTAAAAGAGCTGAATATAGTGGCACCTGACTATAGTATCAAGTACTGGGACAGCTCCTGTACTAGGTATTTTATATGTTTCTTTCAGAAGGTTGTTTTCCAAACACAGGTGCAACATTCCCTATTGCTAAGTGTTCCTGAGGGAATATATATATGAACAATAAAAAGATTAGTTCAAAATGTATTTTCTTTAGAGGGCACAATGAAGATTACAAAGGAAAACTGATTCATTTGTAAACCATCTTTCATTAGGTCTTTTTATAAAACTTCAGTGTTACTCTTTTGAGAAAGAAGTTTCTTTTAAAATTTAATTTATAAAAATCCATTTTAAAATTCCTTATCTGGGGCTGGGGATGTGGCTCAAGCGGTATTGTGCTCGTCTGGCATGCGTGCGGCCCGGGTTCGATCCTCAGCACCACATACCAACAAAGATGTTGTGTCCACCGAGAACTAAGAAATAAATATTAAAATTCTCTCTCTCTCTCTCCCTCTCTCTCTCTCCCACTCTCTCTTTAAAAAAATAAAAAATTCCTTATCTGAGTACAGTGGAAACTATAAAAGGTGGAAATACCTGTTTTGAATATAACAGGAACTTGTAGTAGTTTACAGATATCAAGATAAGGCTTATTCTGGAGCCTGATAGTCCTAACAACTACACAATTATTGAGTTTGGTTACAGAAGAGCTATTTGTCAAAATAAGGCAAATATAAAAACTCTATTATAGCCTGATGTGAAAAACAATATGGACAAGAAAAAGGATCCAGTCATAATTGGCATCATTGGGGGAGTAAGATGGGGAGAAAAGGCCAGTGAACAGTCTCACATTTTAGAGCAGGTCATATCACCTGCAAGGTAAAAATTCAGCTAACATTAATTGCTTACTCTATGCAAGGTATAACTGGCAAATATTTTATCCTTTGGAGGTAGGCACTGTAATTATTTCATCTTCATAAATGCAGAACCAATGATTTGCTCAAGGCTCCATAAAGAGGCAAGAGARAACTAGAGAGAAACCTACAAAAGACTAACTCCATGGAACCCACCTTTTCTCTTTGCTGCCTATATTTTAGGTTTGAACATAGTCAGAATTTAGCAAGCCTTTATTTATTTAAATTAATTAATTTATTTTTTGGTACTGGGGATTAAACCCAGGAACGCTTTACCACTGAGATATATTTTCTATATCACTTCTTTTTATTTATTTTTTAAATATTGAAACAGAGTCTCACTAAGTTGCCAAAGCTGGCCTTGAACTTGCCATCCTTCCACCTCAGCCTATTAAGTTGATGGGTTTACAGGCATGTGTCATGCCCCACCACCCCAACCCATGCCGAGTCCTTCTTAAAGAATACTACTTATTACTATTTTTGAATACCCATTATATGACAAGCCTGCTATAGGTATATTGTTTGTCTTCTCATTTAATCTAACATTCGACAAGGCAGATGTGGCAACCTCCTTTTACAGATAAGTTCAAAGAATAGTTTATTCAAGGTCAAATGATGGGTTAGAATCAGAGCTAATATATAAACTCAGCTCTGCTCAATTTTTTTTGCAAGGGGTGAGGAGGGTAGTAGGGATTGAACCCAGAGGTACTTAACATCCTTTTACATTTTAAAAATTTTTAGACAGGGTTTTGCCAAGTTGCTTAGGGCCTTGCTACATTGCTGAGGCTGGCTTTGAACTTGTGATCCTCAGCATCCTGAGCTGCTGGGATCMAAGGAGTACACCAGGGCACCTGGCTTTAATTTTCTTCTTTAAGAATTTCTCAGATTGTCCTTTGTAAAATACTTTATTTCCTTTGTAGAGTAAAGCATGGTCATGATATTGAATTTGGAAGTGAATGAAATTACCTGAAGTTCTACCACCCCAACAAGTATTATTAATATTTTGATATTTTCTCCTGGTCTTTTAAAATATGTTTTTAATATTTTTTTTAGGTGTAGATGGACATAACACAATGCCTTTATTTTTTATGTGGTGCTGAGGATCGAACCTAGGTCCCACCCGTGCTAGGCGAGCGCTCTACCGCTGAGCCACAATCCCAGCCCTCCTGGTCTTTCTTAAAARACAGAATTCTGGCCACACTGCTTATATATGTATGTATCCTGATTATTTCACTGGAAACAGATGTTTCTCTAAGACTTTACAAAATCTTCATAAGCAAGTCATAGCTATTACTCAGTCTTTCAATATGTGAATCTAGTCTTTTATTGCTGAGCACTTAGGCAATACTCCATCTTTCGCTATTATATACATAAAGCTTCACTGTATTTAGAATAATTTCCTTAAGAAAATTTTGCAGGGCTGATGATGTGGCTTAACTAGCATGTATAAGGCCCTGGGTTCAACCCCTAGTAGCACCAAAAAATAAAAATAAGATTTGCATGAGTATAATTATTTTTTTTAAAGAGAGAGAGAGAGAGAGAGAGAGAGAGAGAGAGAGAGAGAGAGAGAGAGAGAGAGAGAGAATTTTAATATTTATTTTTTAGTTATTGGCAGACACAACATCTTTGTATGTGGTGCTGAGGATCAAACCCGGGCCACATGCATGCCAGGCGAGCACACTACCGCTTGAGCCACATCCCCAGCCCAGATAA